CACCAAACTGTCACCAGCTTCGTCTCTGATAAGTGACTCAAAGGACTGAACGGGGTTGGCAAGTGGTTCAGCTTCAACCACCAAAGTGTCCCTAGCTGCATCTCCAATTGCCGACTTGACGGACTGTATGGGGGTGGAATGTGGTTCTGGTTCAACCACCAACGTGTCACTAGCCTCAACACTTACAGCGATCTCCAGAGCAGTAGAAGCTGATCTTGACACAGGTGTCACACAGCCACTTTCTATGACTGAGGGGACCTCTGTGAGTGATTGCTGGCTGACTACTCCCCTGATTTCCTTCACAGCCAGACTTGCATGGTCCCCCTTTTTTCTTGTGGAGCTTTAGCTGCCGGTTGACCCAGTTGCATATCTGCCTCATAAAGGTGTCAACTTCTCCTTGTATTTCAAACCTGAAGTCCGGAGAGGGGTCCTGCTTCAGATGCTGTGAGACAATATCACCAAGCTCAATGGCGGCCATGTTGTGTTGTCCACTAGATATTACCTCTGCGATTCTCTCGTAGGGGCACTCGTCGTCAGTGCCCTTATTTATGTCCTCTTCATTTAATGAGATGATGGTCTTCACCACCAGATCAGCCTCCTCCATTAGCTGGCTCAGAGACCTCTTTTGTTCTGAGACGCAATTGTATTTACGCCTCAGTTTTGTCACAAAACCTAGTAGTGACCCCATAGCAAATCTTACCGCAAAAAAGCCCTTAAGTTTATCTCCCAGTGATTTCCAACAGGATATCTTTACAGATTCGGCCACTGATTTCGGCAGTGAACCATCTGATTCGATTTGAAGGTCTTCAATTATTTCTTTGACTATCGCAATAGCCATCTCGTTTGTGTCCTCGGAGGAGCCGGACTCAAACACTCGGCACTCTTCATCGGAAATCTTAACGTTATAACTAATCGGGGTAATGCTTTTTGCCTGTTCCTGCAGGATATTCTTCACAGCTTCTGTTGTTTCGATGATGAAGCTCGTTATCGGCAGCATGTCCGTCTCATCCACAAAGGGAACTACGGGGGTCTGCCATGACTCCCCGGTTCCAATTGGCGTGGTGCCCTCCTCACCAGTGCAGTTTTTCAACATTCTCGCTACATGTCGGACCATGGTCTTCAGTCTGAGCGTGAATGAGCATGAGACGGGAGGACTTTTCCATTTATTGCTGCCTCCAAAACTTCCAGAGGCATTGGCGAGCTCATTTACTCTCTCGGTGACCTCAGTAACCACAGCGCTGGTTACCTTCTCCACGCTTCGGCTGATGTTGCCGACCCCGGTTGCCTCCTTAAAGGCTAGGAAAACTGCGTCACCCAGAAAACTACGAACGTCTTCTTCAGATATGCTGCCCTGTGATCTGGCAGACCCAGAAGAGCTTTTTGAAGATTTGGAAGTGTGTCTCCCCTCAACTTTGCTCCGTTGAAATGCCTCATGAATTTGTATGCATAAAATATTTACAATATCCACACACAATTCAGTAATTACATCCTCTGATGTGAAGTCTAGAGACCTGCCTTGCAGCTTCGACAACTGTATGGTTTTCAGCTTCTCCAGGCTCTGTTGGATAAGTCCGCGAAGACTGTCTATTGTGGCTTGATCCATCTTGTCTGTTAATATCGTTGGATCCGAAGTCCTGAAGAATCTGTGTTTGTGTCCTTGTGAAAGTTTCCTGAAGAATGTGAACTGAACCAGGTTAATTGGGATCCTATATCCATAGTTTCAGACAGAACGTTCACCTTTGTATCAAAGCAACATTCTATTGGCTTTGATCTTTGAATGACATCACAACGGTCCGATGACATCAGAGCAAAAGACTACAGGAATTTGAAAAAAAACACTACATTGAGACATTAAAACAATTTAAAAATAAACACGTAAACTTGGCCATTGATTGTTTGATTTTGTCTCATAATATGTATATATATATATATATATATATATATATATATATATAGAGAGAGAGAGAGAGAGAGAGAGAGAGAGAGAGAGCGAGATAATGCCAAAAAGTCAAATTACTGCAGCAAAATATGTCTCCTCATGCCACAAACTGAGGACGACCAGTGGAAACTCAGATAAATGTATAAAATAATTGATTGTTTTAGTTGTATTTGTTTTTGTTGTTGTTGTTAACACACACACACACACACACACACACATTTTAATTTTAATATATTTTAATATAATATATATTATATTTAATAATTTGTTATTACTGTTATTTTGACAACAGACTACTTGTTTTAACTGTAGTTTGTTACTTTACTACTGTTACTGAGATTGATTGATTGTGACTGTGATTGTGATTGAGTCAATCATAGTTACAGTATTACCAACAGTATAGATTATTGATTATTATTAATTTATTGTAAATATTGTTTTCCTTTATTGTTATTATTATTATTTTTAATTCCAAATGCTTGCTTTGGCAGTATGTACAGTGGTACGTCATGCCAATAAAGCCATTTGAATTGAAATTGAAATTGAGAGACACCATGTCTGTGTTGCGTTATTGAAAATATAGTTTGACGACATCTCATGATGCACGTCTGTTCAGAGCCCTGACCTCTGGAAACTCACCTTTTACAGACAGTCTAGAATTGCATCATTTAAATTAATTGAATTAAATAACTGTTGCCTTAATTAGTGATTCTATGGCTTATGATTCTCGCTGAAAATTTTTCTTCGTAAGATTTTTATAGATTATATACATATAGATTCCTTGTAAATATTTTGTTCTCACCACTTTATACATTTGTAAATAAATCTTTAATTATATTTACATGTTTTCACTACTTTGCACTGTGGTTGTTGTTTTTCAAACTGCCGTACAAATCAGGGAGGTTATCATGATCATAATCGACATCATTCATTATTTTCTTTTACATATTAGATTCTGGTCAGAGATGTTACTGATGGGACATTGACAACCTGAAGGCTTGTATAATAAATAAAGAATTATTACAGTGTCAGTCAGCCTCTGTTCTGCAGCTTTGTCACAGAGAAATGGGCTTTGAGTTTTCACTTATGTTTCACTTTTTACTTTTAAAAAACACAAGATTTTGAAAACAATGGAGTCAAGTTTGGGTGTGAAGAAGTTGTGTTGACTGCTGACACAAATAAACAACAGATATTGTGTTATAGACTCATTTTATTTACTGTTATGTTGATTTTCGTGAAGGTGTCCTGTTGGTTGTGTATTTGTGTTTAGCAATGTCACCTGTGTCATTTTAAGTTTCCTCCGTTGTTACACAACCAGTGAGTGACTCAGCTTTTACAAGTTAAATATTAACAACAAACTAATGGAAAATGTGCAGCCTAGGCCTAAAGTGGTTGAACTTCCTACTAATTGAACCTCCTACTAATTTAATTTCCTATTCATTTAATTTCCTACTAATTTAACTTCCTACTAATTTAATTTCCTATTCATTTAATTTCCTATTAATTTAACTTCCTACTAATTTAACTTCCTATTAATTTAATTTCCTACTAATTGAACTTCCTACTGGGGGCTGAAATCCCCCTCAGTGGTGTTGTGGTCTTGTCTTGTCTTCTCCTTCTGTGTCTCCTGTGGTCTCTCTCTCAGCTTCCATTTCTTTGGCTTTCTGCTAACCATAACCTGCTTACTCCCTCTCATATCCTCATGTTTCCTTTGACATTTCACTCTCTGATCTGTCTCACCCTCTGTAGTCCCTGCCTGTCTCTCTCTCTGTAACGCCTCACTGTTCTCTTCTGTCATAATGTGCTAAAAGTAATTTAGTAACATTATACACACCTTCTTCATGTCGTTATCTTTGTGTTTGACTTTACATCAGTTTGGATTTTATTTATAAAGATGTGTCTGAAGGAGTAAAACTGTATTATTGCACTATACTAGGTGTGTCTGCTGTTACATTGAGCTGATAGTTTCCACTGTGAGTACCAAAGAACATGATCTCTGTGGTAATTCCATTGTTTTCACTGGAACAGGTTCAGTTGGTGTTGAACAGCACAGCCACATAATGCTAACTCTATCCTATTGACACATCAAATCATGGTTGTTGTTACCGTTCTGCCCCCATCCAGACCTCCATTGTCTTTAACCCCATAAAGCACTCAGGCATTAGCATGCTAATGGCTCAGTGTTACTGGCAATAGCTGCACCTTTTGTATTCACACCTTTAACCGACCAGACCCGGTTCCCCCAGATCGCCTCCCCTCCCCGTGCATGTAATGTGTATATTCAGCTCCAACAGTTTGCTGTTTTTCTACAGCTGGCATCATGTTTAATCTCTAATTTCTCCATGAAAAACCTCCCAGTACAGTCTACAGTAAGTTATGGGGGATGGTTTAAAAAGTAACATACTGGATTTATTTGTTTAAAATGGCATCTAACATTAAAACACACATTTTGTTCACATTAAAAAAACACATTTTACATTATTTGGATTTTACATATTCTGCAATGATGCATTTGTGTATGCACTGATTGTTTAAGTAAAATGTATATTATTGAATTATTATAACCAATAAAAGGTCTGATTAAGCTGAATTACAGGACAACTCAGTAAAAGCTGATCTGAAGAAGAGTTTACCTCCTAAAAACTGAATTTATCGAGCTCTACTGTAAACAAGTGTTAAACACACAGTATCTTCCTCAGACTCCTCTTCCTGGAATGAATCAGAGCTCGATAACCCAGATAAAGCCTGTAATTGACTGTGTGGTCTGTAATGATGTTAGAATCTGTGGGGAGTTTAAAAAGATTTTATAAGTAACATTCATGAGGACGGACTAAAAACATTTAATAGTTTAAAAGTGTTAAAATATATCACATGTAAGAAAGAGACTTCTGAAATGTTATTTAGTTGTTTTTCTACTGTTTATCTGGTTCTAGTGTTCAGTTTCTAATAGATCTAATAGTGTTAATCTGTGATCCACACAGTGGTCTGACTCTGATAGGCTGAGCTCGAGTCTCCACCCACCAACCTGGAGGGAATCCTTTAAATCCGCTCTCTTCTTCTCACACTGAAGTTACTCTGCTGCACACTTCAACAGAAGAGGAGGTTACTCAGGGACGAAGCATCACCTCATCACTCTCAGGGTTATTTCTCTGGATTTTAAGGTGAGTTGTGGATCTTAAACTGTGTTGTTGTAACATTCTGAGTGAATTACAGTCAGATAGTGTCGAGAGAGGCAAAGTGTGTCTGTTGGTAAACTACAACTAAATGTCTGCAATCAAAACCTTGAATAAAAGTATCCAGGTACTGAATGTACTTATATGTGTATGTTGCATGTTACTGCTGTAGCTGTTTATAGTTTAAAACTACTTTCTACATGCCACGGTTGGCCCAGTTTAGCTGTAAATATACAGTGTAAGTTGTATTATTTATTCTTTTATCCTGTTAGTCTAGCTCTGAAGCCCTTATGGTCTTGGTAAAGTGTTTGTTGTTAATAATGAACATTTGTCAATAACTTATGTTTCCCCTTTCCCTCTCCTCTAGATCTGCAGTTTGAAGATGTGTTCAACCATCATGTGATGAATTGACTGACCGATCTCATTAACTGCAGAAACCATTGCTGTTTACTTCAGGGCGCTAACTAGTTGGAGTACTAAGAACGTGCCACGGAGAGGTGAAATGGCGCAGAAAGAAGTTCAACTGGACCGGGAAACCATTTCCTGTCCCATTTGTCTGGATCTACTGAAGGAACCAGTGACTATTCCCTGTGGACACAGCTACTGCATGAACTGTATTAAAACCTGCTGGGATGAACAAGAGGGGAAGACGGTCAACAGCTGCCCTCAGTGTAGGCAGACCTTCATACCAAGACCTGTCCTGGTGAAAAACACCATGTTAGCAGTTTTAGTGGAGGAACTGATGAAGACTGGACTCCAAGCTGCTCTTGCTGATCTCTGCTATGCTGGACCTGAAGATGTGGTCTGTGATGTCTGCGCTGGGAGAAAACTGAAAGCCCTAAAGTCCTGTCTGGTCTGTTGTATCTCTTACTGTGAGAAACACCTTCAGCCTCACTTTGAATCCCCTGCTTTTGAAAAACACAAGCTGGTGGACCCCTGCAAGAAGCTCCAACAGAACATCTGCTCTCTTCATGATGAGGTGATGAAGATGTTCTGCCGTACTGATCACCAGTCTATTTGTCATCTCTGCTCTATGGATGAACATAAAGGCCACGACACAGTCTCAGCTGCAGCAGAAAGGACTGAGAGGCAGAGAGAGCTCGAGGTGAGTCGACAAAACATCCAGAAGAGAATCCAGGACAGAGAGAAAGATGTGATGGAGCTTCAACAGGAGGTGGAGGCTATCAATCTTTCTGCTGATACAGTGGTGGAGGACAGTGAGGGGATCTTCAGCCAGGCGATCTGTCTCATGGAGAAAAGAAGCTCCGATGTGAAGCAGCAGGTCAGATCCCAGCAGGATACTGAAGTGAATAGAATCAAAGAACTTCAGCAGAAGCTGCAGCGAGAGATCACAGAGCTGAAGAGGAAAGACACTGAGCTGAAGAAGCTCTCACACACAGAGGACCACCATTTTCTGCACAACTGCCCTGCACTACCCGAACCCATTGAATCTACAGACTCATCCGGCATCAGAATCTGTCCTCAGAAGTACTTTGAGAATGTAAAAGTGACTGTGTCACAAGTCAGAGATAACCTACAGGACAGTTTAAATGTGAAATGGAAAAACATCTCAGTGACCAATGAGCCCAAAACCAGAGCTGAATTCGTCAGCTATTCATGTCAAACCACAGTTGATGAAAACACAGTACACAGGTTATTGATATTATCTGAGGGGAACAGAAAGGTAACAGCAGTGAGACCACATCAGCCATATTCTCGTCACCCAGACAGATTTATTTTTTTGGCCTCAGGTCCTGAGTAGAGAGAGTCTGACTGGCCGTTGTTACTGGGAGGTGGAGTTGGGAGAGGCAGGGGGTAATGTAGCAGTCGCATACAACAACATCAACAGATCAGGGTCGGAGTGTGGATTTGGAAGCTGTGACAATTCATGGGCTTTAAGATATGACAACAACCGTTATTCATTTTGGTACGACAATGTCCAAACTCCAGTTTTAGGTCCGCCATCCTCCAGAGTTGGAGTGTACCTGGATCACAGTGAAGGTATTCTGTCCTTCTACAGCATCTCCACGACACACAAAACCATGACTCTCCTCTACCGAGACCAGACCACATTCACCCAGCCTCTCTATGCTGGACTTGGTGTTAACTTACCTGTTGGAAACACTGGTGAGTTCTGTGAACTTAATTAGAAAGAAGTCCTTCAAAAGGTTCTTCCCTAACGTTCATCAAAGCCGCAAAACTCTGCCTTCAGCATTGATCCCTCTGTTTGCTCAGTCCAGTTGAGATGTGATTGTTAAAAATGTTTAGTTTTACTTTAGTTCTAATTAGTTATTGTGTCAGGGGGTTAACTTAGTTTTTTTATTTACTTTATTTACGGATAACAACAAAAGCTTTTTTTAATGGAGTAAATGGTTTTCCCTCTTATATGGGAAACATGACACTGACATGTTAACAAGGCCAAAAACTGGCTTTTCACACAGTGGTCTGACTCACTGCTCATGATGTTTTTTTGTTTCCCTGAACAGACTTTTCTCTGCGTGAAAATGTAAACTATTCCCATTGTTTCTCTCTATGGGTTTTTTGTCATTATATTACAATAAAAATATTTTCAAGAACAAATATACTTTCACATCTACTTATTTCTTCCTCTGTAAGTGAATGAGTTTTCATGGGTGGTGCTCCTTTCTGGGACTGTTGAGCCATGGAGGCTATCACATTAACATTTATGTGTTTGACAAACCAAATGTACATGAGCTACCATGAGCTACTATAATGATCACAATCATAATCAATGAGGAGATCATCTGCACGATGACACATAGCAATTATTTTAACAGATATTGTGATTGAGAAATGAATTCTAATTAGCGTGTATTCGATTGCTTTTGAATCAAAAGGTTAATTTTCACTGGACAGGCGATTCAAATCATGATAGTGGGACTTTTTGGGGGCTCTGTACCAAACAAACACGTTTTCTTAAATCTGGAAAGGATTTGTAGGCCAAGGAGTCTATTCAGAACTTTATTATAAAGCTGTTTTGTCCCGATTTGCATATTGTGTTTTTGATAATATTTCCATTAAATGTGCATTCCTATCCTAAATACTACTTTGGCTACAACCTGAGAACCATTGTGAATAGTATTTGTAAAGTGGATGGTCTTCTCTACTATGTTTCCAATGGGACCTGAATGCCGCATCAATATTGACTGATGGATTGACATCGTGTGGCATTTCATATATTTATATATCTCTCAACTGATGTTGTTCTTTTTATGTTAGCAGCAGGTTAACAACTCAAAAGGGAAAACTGATGCCCGACACCAGAGGGTGCCTTCATCCTGCTAACCAGGGATATAGTGGAGGTTAAAGAACCTCAGTTCACGTTTGCAGTTTTGGTGAAGAACATGTTTTTGAGATTGTATTTTATGATAACATTTAAAATAAAAATGTCAGGTCTAGTAAATCACGCATACAGTTTTGATAAATCATGAAGACTTCATCTTTTTCTAGACATAAACTGAAACTTGATGAGAACATGATCAAGGCTACATTTGGTGGGCTTGGGTCACTGTGACAAAACATAAAGGATACGTATGAAATAGTACATTGTCCTTATTCATCCAGTCATTCCAGTCACTTAACTGAGAGCCCAATGATATGGAGCATTCCTGTCTGCTGGGATTCAGAGTTGAACAAATAACTACCTGGATTTATTTGTTTAAATTGATTGAACATTAAACCCCTTGTGATTAAAATATACATTCTTTTAAATTTAAAATGGTTTTCAAAAATGCTTAGAAAGGACTTTATCAAGTAATAATGTTGAATTATTACCTTAACATTTCATTAGCTTTACAGCAGTGAGTCATTTAACTATTATTTATGTCTTGTATTTGAATCATGGTAATCAATCAAAAACGTTTTAAAGTTAATTACAGGACAACTCAGTAATGCTGAAAATTGGGGAGACATTTCCAAACCCTCTGATCATAAGAGTATCTTTACTTCCCAAAAGCTGAAGTGAACAGTATTTTATAATGAGCTCTATTATAAGTGTTAAACAGTATCGCTCTGTAACTCAGTAACTGCTCCTCTTCCTGGAATGAATCACAACATGATAACTCCTCCCTCTTCTTCCTGCTCTCAAACACAGCGAGCTTCACTCTGTCCATGTATTTCCTTGTTCCCTCCCCTTTAGATCAGCAGTTTGAGGATGGGTGTAACCAACATGTGGTGTAGTGCAAGAGATAAGAGACCCTATTCATTCAGAGATCAAACTAGTTTCATTTCTGTGGAAGTGAGACTCAGACAGTTGTTGTCACTGAGAGGTGAAATGGTGCAGAAAGGAGTTCAGCTGGAGAGGTAAATTATTTCTGTTTGATCTGTCTGAATCTACTGAAGGATCCGGTGACTATTCCCTGTGGACACAGCTACTGCATGAACTGTATTAAAAGCTACTAGGATGAAGACTAGGAGGAGGAAATCCAAAGCTGCCCTCAGTGTAGGCAGACCTTCACACGAGTCCTGTCCTGGTAAAAAGCTCCATTTTAGCAGATTTAGTGGAGCAACTAATGAAATTTTATAACTAGATTCGGGAACAAAGACCACGCCCCAAACTCATCTCATTTCCGTTCAATACATATTCAAGCACACCTTTTCCGTTCACTCCCTCCATGAGTAATTTTCTACATCCCTCCCCCCCAAATACCCTTCTTTATTTTGTTTTCTCTCTCTTATGAACCACTGGGGCTCACGAAGAGATACGAAACCGTTCCCCCACTCAGCGTCTCAACACCCACTCTGTTCCTCCTGACCATCTTGCAGAACTCCTCCCTCCATCCACCTATCCCACCAGCTTTTCTCCCTTTCTATCAACCCTCACCCGTCCTTCCTATACCCCCTCATCCCCCAACCCTCGACCCTTTCCCCCATCCCTCGACCCCTCCCCATCATCCCTTAATCCTTCCATCCCCTCCATCCCAGGGATAAACTACAGGACGTTCTGAGGGAGAAATGGACAAACGTCTCACTGACAGTGACTGAAGTGGATGTTTTACTGTCACAACCAGAGCCCAAGATCAGAGCTGGATTCTTACAATATTCACATGAAATCACACTGGATCCAAACACAGCAAACACACTGCTGTTATTATCTGAGGGGAACAGAAAAATCACAAGTGAACAACAATTTAACTGTAATCGCCCAGACAGGTTCACTTCAAGTAGGCAGGTCCTTAGTAGAGAGAGTCTGACTGGACGTTGTTACTGGGAGGTGGAGTGAAGCAGAAGGAATTAATATAGAAGTTGTATACAAGAATATCAGCAGAGATCAGAGCTTTGGCCACAATCTAGAATCTTGGACATTACATTATTACAAACAAAGTTATACTTTTCAGCACAACTTTGTCCAAACTCCAGTCTCAGGTCCTCAGTCCTCCAGAGTTGGAGTGTATCTGGATACACAGTGCAGGTATTCTGTCCTTCTGCAATGTCTCTGAAACCATGACTCTCCTCCACAGAGTTCAGACCACATTCACTCAGCCTCTCTATGCTGGACTTGGTCTTGGCTTCTGGTATGGAGAAACTGCTGAGTTAATTGCACTACGACACATTCCTTGTATGCTTCAAAACCTACTTGGCAATAAACAAAATTCTGATTCTGATTCTGATTAATTAAACTAAAATAGTCAATGGTTTTGTAATGGGCATTGGGTTAGATTCTGTCATTTAATTTAAACTTGTTTTGTCACATTTTTGTTGCTGAGACCTGATTGACCATTATTGGTGGTACTTTGACAACTTCTCATTAGTTTTTCTGTTCGTCACTGCTCATGATGATTCTTGTTTACCTGAACTAACATATCTTTCTCTGAATGAAATTGGCAACTTGTCTGTGCCTTAAATCTTTATTGTATTTGTATGCGGTTTCTCTTCTACTGCATGGGTTTTAAAACTGCTTTATTGTAGATATTTTGTTCCACCACTTTTGTTAATTTGTAAAGAAATCCCTTACATTTTGTCCAGATCAAATGTTGTTCCAGTGTACAAACTCTGAGGTATTTTAAAACTATAATTATCACGATCATAATCTATAAGGAGATCATTCATTATTTTCAGAGCTGAGATTCTGCTGAGACAAACTGGTTGCATGTTAATTGATCTGACGTTCACATAACGTATAAACAAACATGAATAAAGAATCTTCTTCTAGTCTTCATTCCAGGGTCTCATACAACGTTGAAGGAGAAAATGTGAAACTAACATCAGAGTATACAATATATATAATGGAAAATTTGGTATGATATTCGGTCCAGTCACAAAACCATGACTTGGATTAATTATTTTTTACATCTGATTACAAGTGTCTCCATGTTATTTCATAAGAATTCAAGAAGTCAGAGAAATTTGAACCTGAGCCTTGAAACTTACACTCCCAATTACAATCTGAGAGCTGATGTGAATAATATTTGTAAAGCGTAAACTCTTCTAATCCATCTTTCCCATATGACCTGAATGCAGCATCATTGTTATATGGTGTGAACACTAAAAGTGAATGTCTTTCTGGTAGTGAACATCACAGCAGGTAAACAAAGAAATGTGAAAACTGATGCTGGACTTTTTTTTTTTATTATTATGAAGACAGAGTTAAGTTGAAACTAAAATAGACAGAAGTTATTTAAAGGTCCAATGTGTAACATTAAGGAGGATCTATTAGTGGCAAGACAGTGGATTCAATTCTGTTTTAATTCTTTTTGCACTGCAAATGTTTGAATTCTTTAGGTGGCACTGGTCCTGTGTCTGTTTTAGCCATGGAGTGTAATACTGCTCAGGATTATTTTTATATACTGTCATTTCTCTGCATGAAAATATAAACTTGTATATGTTTGTTGAGTATATGTTTTGATGTATTAGTATGATGTTGTGTCTCTTCTGCTGCAATGGTCTTCATGTAGAAAGCCATAGACTTCTCTATATTGTTTCATGTCTGTTCTCAACACTTACATACATTTACGTTTATTTATAGGCAAATGTAATTGTTTTAGATAGTAACATTGATAGAGACCACATCTGTGATCTGTCTGTGAAGTCAAGGTGGCCATCAATCACATTATCAGGATATTTCAAACTGCTGCTAGTTTCTACAGGTGATGGTCGAAGATTAAAATGTATGAGCTGTGTTGTGTGTTGCTGATAAGATAAGTTCTTTGGTTTCAGCTACATTCAGTTCTCCTCACGTCACTGCTGCAGAGTAATTACATGGTTGAAATATGTGCCATCTTTTGCAGAGCCCCACTCACACAAAAGGCCAACCAGCTGTGTATCATCAGCACACTGCAGGAAGTTGTGAGTCTTGGATTTCAGATTCATTGGTTTAAAAAGAACAGTGATAAAACGTCATCTCATGATGCACATCTGTTCAGAGCCCTGACCTCTGGAAACTCACCTTTTACAGACAGTCTAGAATTGCATCATTTAAAATAAATAAATAAAATTAATTGTTGCCTTAATTAGTGATTCTGTGGCTGATGATTCTCACTGAACTCTAATTTTTCTTCTTAAGAAATAATTATAGATTATATACATATAGATTCCATGTAAACATTTTGTTCTCACCACTTTATACATTTGTACATATAACTTTAATTATATTTACATGTTTTCACTACTTTGCACTGTGGTTGTTGTTATTCACACTGGCGTACAAATGAGGGAGGTTATCATGATCATAATCAACATGGAGATCATTCATTGTTTTCTTTTACATATTAGATTCTGGTCAGAGAAATTGTGTGGATGAAGTGAATCTGTGCATAACATAAAAAAACTATCATTTAACAGAGGTTACTGATGGGACATGGCCAAACTGAAGGCTTGTATAATAAAGAAAGAATTATTACAGTGTCAGTCAGCCTCTGTTCTTTCAACTTCCCTTACTAAAACAGCTTTGTCACAGAGCTAGCTAGCTAGCCAATTAACATGATGACAATTACCCAAAAATAAAACCCAATAAACCCATTGAATTGTACATGTGCTGTAATTGGAATTTTATACAGAGCATAAACAAGCGCAGTGATAGCTGTAGACCTGTTCTGATGATGGAAAACAGAATCTGTCGAAGTTTGAATGAATACATTCTGCATGCTACTAATGTCTGTGTGTCCATTACTTTGATTTTAACAAACTCGTTGGCAGGGAGTAATAAGTAAAGTAATAATATTCCCTTTGAAAAGAGTAATAAAGTAATGTTTCCATTATTATGAATAGAATCAAATCAATGGATTTTTCAGTCACACAACAAAACACATTCTACTTTAAACTGATTATAAACTGACAATTACAATTTTTATATTATATTAAATTATACCATAATGACTTTTTTGTATCTCAAGCGTTCACTGCTTTAACTCCCTGCTAGGTATCACCTGCTAACGTCAGTCATAATTCTTCAGGTCTCTCCTTTTTGTTTCAGATCTGTCAGGGCATGCTGCAGTCATGTCGTGGTACGGCACATCACGCGTACATCACCCGACACAAATGTAATGAAAATGACTTGATTATTGCCATATCAGGCTTGTGTTCAGGAAGGGACTCTTATGAGACCAATTGTTTATTCTTCAATTATTTTTATTTTGTTTAATAATTAATTTTTTTGCCTTTAATGGATATTGATAGCTAAAGAGAGAGAGGAAAGAGCAAGGAAAAAAAGAGAGAGGTCTGAATTGAACTCTCACTTTATAGCTGCAAGGCCATAGTGTTAAATGCTGAGGCACCTGTGTGGCCCTATGACACCTGATGTGAATTATAAAATTATTTAAAGAGACTCAACAATTCCCACCTTGAGCAAGCACTTGGCGACAGCGGCAAGGAAAAACTCCCTTTTAAGAGGCAGAAACCTCGGACAGAACCCGGGTCTAGGTGGGTGGCCGTCTGCCTCGACCAGTTGGGTCTTACTGTTTTTTTGGGCAAGATCATCAGATGTAAGGTTTTACCACCACCAAAGCCTCTCAGAGTAAACCCGTTGCCACTTCAGTTACTAAGCGTGTGTCGTACCCACTAAATATTACTCTTTTTGTCCAAAGCAGGCAATGTGGGGGTCAACCAGGATCCATGATAACCAAACAAGAAAGCACAGAAACTTTGGTTCCTCTGTGCAACCAATCGACATCTGAGGATAGTAGCACAGAGCCATTTTTTTTCATTAAGGTTTAAAATGTGGGCGAACCGAAGCCACTCGGAGTAAACCCTATGTCACTTCAGTTACTACGCGTGTATTTTTGTGTATGTTTGTCCTAATGCTTTGAAACCGCCAAAGATTACTCTTTGTGTCCAAAGCATACTTCGTTTTTTTTCATTAAGGTTTAAAATGTGGGCGAACCGAAGCCTCTCGGAGTAAACCCTATGTCACTTCAGTTACTGCGCGTGTATTTTTGTGTATGTTTGTCCTAATGCTTTGAAACCGCCAAAGATTACTCTTTGTATCCAAAGCATACTTAGTTTTTTTTTCATTAAGGTTTAAAATGTGGGCGAACCGAAGCCTCTCGGAGTAAACCCTATGTCACTTCAGTTACTGCGCGTGTATTTTTGTGTATGTTTGTCCTAATGCTTTGAAACCGCCAAAGATTACTCTTTGTATCCAAAGCATACTTAGTTTTTTTTTCATTAAGGTTTAAAATGTGGGCGAACCGAAGCCTCTCGGAGTAAACCCTATGTCACTTAAGTTACTACGCGTGTATTTTTGTGTATGTTTGTCCTAACGCCTTGAAACCGCCAAAGATTACTCTTTGCGTCCAAAGCAGGCGGTGAATGGCTTGCCCACGGTCTTTAAGAGACGTGAGAAGAATGCGTTCACGCCAGTCTTCTTCTCTGGCATCACCAGATGTTTTTTCAGTGTCTCAGTTATGTATCTGTAAATAGATACATCCCGAGACAGCAGGCACATCTGTAAGATCCCTTTGTCACCTGTCTCCTTGCACAACTCCTTGCGCACCGCCTTTGCCACCCTTTTGATATGGTGGCCGCTTGGCTTGACAGCAATGTCAGATCCTGCGATCTGTTCCCAAAGCAACTTCCCCAGTGTCCCGCTGATTGTTTCAATATCTTTGCAAGTCAGACTAACATTCAGATGTATCTGACTTTTCATGACTTTTTGAAACAGTGCAATGGCCATAACCTTGCAGCTCATTTCATCCCACTGATGGGGTGCTGGTGTTGTGGTCTCACCTAGAGCTTCACCAGCCTCATCTCTGATGGGGGACACCACGGACTGAACAGGGATGGGAGGTGGTTCTACTGCAACCCAAGTGTCCCCAGACTTCTCTCGGATTGGGGACACCACGGACAGAACGGGGGTGGAAGGTGGTTCTGCTTCAACCACCAAACTGTCACCAGCTTCGTCTCTGATAAGTGACTCAAAGGACTGAACGGGGTTGGCAAGTGGTTCAGCTTCAACCACCAAAGTGTCCCTAGCTGCATCTCCAATTGCCGACTTGACGGACTGTATGGGGGTGGAATGTGGTTCTGGTTCAACCACCAACGTGTCACTAGCCTCAACACTTACAGCGATCTCCAGAGCAGTAGAAGCTGATCTTGACACAGGTGTCACACAGCCACTTTCTATGACTGAGGGGACCTCTGTGAGTGATTGCTGGCTGACTACTCCCCTGATTTCCTTCACAGCCAGACTTGCATGGTCCCCCCTTTTTCTTGTGGAGCTTTAGCTGCCGGTTGACCCAGTTGCATATCTGCCTCATAAAGGTGTCAACTTCTCCTTGTATTTCAAACCTGAAGTCCGGAGAGGGGTCCTGCTTCAGATGCTGTGAGACAATATCACCAAGCTCAATGGCGGCCATGTTGTGTTGTCCACTAGATATTACCTCTGCGATTCTCTCGTAGGGGCACTCGTCGTCAGTGCCCTTATTTATGTCCTCTTCATTTAATGAGATGATGGTCTTCACCACCAGATCAGCCTCCTCCATTAGCTGGCTCAGAGACCTCTTTTGTTCTGAGACGCAATTGTATTTACGCCTCAGTTTTGTCACAAAACCTAGTAGTGACCCCATAGCAAATCTTACCGCAAAAAAGCCCTTAAGTTTATCTCCCAGTGATTTCCAACAGGATATCTTTACAGATTCGGCCACTGATTTCGGCAGTGAACCATCTGATTCGATTTGAAGGTCTTCAATTATTTCTTTGACTATCGCAATAGCCATCTCGTTTGTGTCCTCGGAGGAGCCGGACTCAAACACTCGGCACTCTTCATCGGAAATCTTAACGTTATAACTAATCGGGGTAATGCTTTTTGCCTGTTCCTGCAGGATATTCTTCACAGCTTCTGTTGTTTCGATGATGAAGCTCGTTATCGGCAGCATGTCCGTCTCATCCACAAAGGGAACTACGGGGGTCTGCCATGACTCCCCGGTTCCAATTGGCGTGGTGCCCTCCTCACCAGTGCAGTTTTTCAACATTCTCGCTACATGTCGGACCATGGTCTTCAGTCTGAGCGTGAATGAGCATGAGACGGGAGGACTTTTCCATTTATTGCTGCCTCCAAAACTTCCAGAGGCATTGGCGAGCTCATTTACTCTCTCGGTGACCTCAGTAACCACAGCGCTGGTTACCTTCTCCACGCTTCGGCTGATGTTGCCGACCCCGGTTGCCTCCTTAAAGGCTAGGAAAACTGCGTCACCCAGAAAACTACGAACGTCTTCTTCAGATATGCTGCCCTGTGATCTGGCAGACCCAGAAGAGCTTTTTGAAGATTTGGAAGTGTGTCTCCCCTCAACTTTGCTCCGTTGAAATGCCTCATGAATTTGTATGCATAAAATATTTACAATATCCACACACAATTCAGTAATTACATCCTCTGATGTGAAGTCTAGAGACCTGCCTTGCAGCTTCGACAACTGTATGGTTTTCAGCTTCTCCAGGCTCTGTTGGATAAGTCCGCGAAGACTGTCTATTGTGGCTTGATCCATCTTGTCTGTTAATATTCTTGGATCCGAAGTCCTGAAGAATCTGTGTTTGTGTCCTTGTGAAAGTTTCCTGAAGAATGTGAACTGAACCAGGTTAATTGGGATCCTATATCCATAGTTTCAGACAGAACGTTCACCTTTGTATCAAAGCAACATTCTATTGGCTTTGATCTTTGAATGACATCACAACGATCCGATGACATCACAGCAAAAGACTAAAGGAATTTGAAAAAAAACACTACATTGAGACATTGAAACAATTTAAAAATAAACACGTAAACTTGGCCATTGATTGTTTGATTTTGTCTCATAATATGTATATATATATATATATATATATATATATATAGAGAGAGAGAGAGAGAGAGAGAGAGAGACCATGTCTGTGTTGCTTTATTGAAAATATAGTTTGACGACATCTCATGATGCACATCTGTTCAGAGCCCTGACCTCTGGAAACTCACCTTTTACAGACAGTCTAGAATTGCATCATTTAAATTAATTAAATTAAATAACTGTTGCCTTAATTAGTGATTCTATGGCTTATGATTCTCGCTGAACTTTAATTTTTCTTCGTAAGATTTTTATAGATTATATACATATAGATTCCTTGTAAACATTTTGTTCTCACCACTTTATACATTTGTAAATAAATCTTTAATTATATTTACATGTTTTCTCTACTTTGCATTGTGGTTGTTGTTTTTCAAACTGCCGTACAAATCATGGAGGTTATCATGATCATAATCCAATCCAATCCAACTTTATTTGTTAAGCACTTTAAACAACCAAAGTTGACCAAAGTGCTGTACAGGAGAATAAATAAGACATCATAAATGTAAACAGTGATGGTGATGATTAAGACCACTGTGAGGAATATAGACAGTGATGGCGATAACACTGGAAAGTTCCCGTGGCAGATAACATGGACGAAGTCCGACGGCGACGAGCTCGATGTCCGGGCTGCAGACGCTCTTTCCCACAGACGTGCCCGGCGTTACACGGCCTGTTGTTTATGAGCACGGACAGTCCCCCTCCTTTCTTCATGCCGGTCGCGGTGCTGTCCCTGTCGGCTTGAACCGTCTGGAAGCCGGTAGTGATGGGAATTCTGCCTCTTTTTAGAGAACCGGCTCCTTCGGCTCGGCTCACTAAAAAGAGCCGGCTCTTTCGGCTCCCAAGTGGCTCATCATATTTTTTTTTTGCTTAAATTAATTTATTACCAAATTATGTTTAAAATGAATATCTAAAGTAAATACATGCATTATATCAAATGTTTAGTATTCATATGGATTTATTAATACACTCAACATGGAACAGTGCTACAAAAATAAATTATAAAACACAAAAACAAAGACCCATCTTAATTAGACAAAAAGCTGCTTGATATGAAATGTTTAACTTTGCACAGTCTACACTCTGCCTTTGAACTATCACATTAAAATGTGTCCGAACTTTACGTTTCCTGTCACTCATTTTCCTCGCCCTTTCCAGTGTGTAGTCTCTGTCTATGTAGCGCCAAGGTCTCTCGCTCTCACGTCTGCCTCCCACATGTTCACGTGCTCACTGTGCCGTGTGTGTCTGTAACCCCTCCCTCCCCCTCCTGCTCAGTGTAGATACACAGATGCACACATCTTGACCAATCACACGGCTTTAACAGGAAAAAAACGGGAAAATCTGGGAAAAAAATCTGGATCTGGCTCCCAATCAGGACCCGGCTCCCGTCGTTCACTTCAAAGAGCCGGCTCTTAGAGCCGGATCGTTCGCGACCGACCCATCACTAGAAGCCGGGCATGGTGACGTTGGAGTCCGGTATCTGCTCGTGTAGCCCAATTGTAGGGTTTAAAGCTCCTCTTCTTCATCCTCCGTTTAACCCCCGCTCTGCAGCCTCGCCATCTCCTCCTCAGACTCATTTTATTTACTGTTATGTTGATTTTCGTGAAGGTGTCCTGTTGGTTGTGTATTTGTGTTTAGCAATGTCACCTCACATGTTCAGTGTCATTTTAAGTTTCCTCCGTTGTTACACAACCAGTGAGTGACTCAGCTTTTACAAGTTAAATATTAACAACAAACTAATGGAAAATGTGCAGCCTCGTCCTAAAGTGGTTGAACTTCCTACTAATTTAACTTCCTACTAATTTAATTTCCTATTCATTTAATTTCCTACTAATTGAACTTCCTACTGGGGGCTGAAATCCCCCTCAGTGGTGTTGTGGTCTTGTCTTGTCTTCTCCTTCTGTGTCTCCTGTGGTCTCTCTCTCAGCTTCCCTTTCTTTGGCTTTCTGCTAACCATAACCTGCTTCCTCCCTCTCATATCCTCATGTTTCCTTTGACATTTCACTCTCTGATCTGTCTCACCCTCTGTAGTCCCTGCCTGTCTCTCTCTATGTAACGCCTCACTGTTCTCTTCTGCCAGAATGTGCTAAAAGTAATTTAGTAACATTATACACACCTTCTTCATGTCGTTATCTTTGTGTTTGACTTTACATCAGTTTGGATTTTAATTATAAAGATGTGTCTGAAGGAGTAAAACTGTATTATTGCACTATACTAGGTGTGTCTGCTGTTACATTGAGCTGATAGTTTCCACTGTGAGTACCAAAGAACATGATCTCTGTGGTAATTCCATTGTTTTCACTGGAACAGGTTCAGTTGGTGTTGAACAGCACAGCCACATAATGCTAACTCTATCCTATTGACACATCAAATCATGGTTGTTGTTACCGTTCTGCCCCCATCCAGACCTCCATTGTCTTTAACCCCATAAAGCACTCATGCATTAGCATGCTAACGGCTCAGTGTGACTGGCAATAGCTGCACCTTTTGTATGGATGCATATTCACACCTTTAACCGACCAGACCCGGTTCCCCCAGATCGCCTCCCCTCCCCGTGCATGTAATGTGTATATTCAGCTCCAACAGTTTGCTGTTTTTCTACAGCTGGCATCATGTTTAATCTTTAATTTCTCCATGAAAAACCTCCCAGTACAGTCTACAGTAAGTTATGGGGGATGGTTTAAAAAGTAACATACTGGATTTATTTGTTTAAAATGGCATCTAACATTAAAACACACATTTTGTTCACATTAAAAAAACACATTTTACATTATTTGGATTTTACATATTCTGCAATGATGCATTTGTGTATGCACTGATTGTTTAAGTAAAATGTATATTATTGAATTATTATAACCAACAGGACAACTCAGTGAAAGCTGATCTGAAGAAGAGTTTACCTCCTAAAAACTGAATTTATCGAGCTCTACTGTAAACAAGTGTTAAACACACAGTATCTTCTTCAGACTCCTCTTCCTGGAATGAATCAGAGCTCGATAACCCAGATAAAGCCTGTAATTGACTGTGTGGTCTGTAATGATGTTAGAATCTGTGGGGAGTTTAAAAAGATTTTATAAGTAACATTCATGAGGACGGACTAAAAACATTTAATAGTTTAAAAGTGTTAAAATATATCACATGTAAGAAAGAGACTTCTGAAATGTTATTTAGTTGTTTTTCTACTGTTTATCTGGTTCTAGTGTTCAGTTTCTAATAGATCTAATAGTGTTAATCTGTGATCCACACAGTGGTCTGACTCTGATAGGCTGAGCTCGAGTCTCCACCCACCAACCTGGAGGGAATCCTTTAAATCCGCTCTCTTCTCCTCACACTGAAGTTACTCTGCTGCACACTTCAACAGAAGAGGAGGTTACTCAGGGACGAAGCATCACCTCATCACTCTCAGGGTTATTTCTCTGGATTTTAAGGTGAGTTGTGGATCTTAAACTGTGTTGTTGTAACATTCTGAGTGAATTACAGTCAGATAGTGTCGAGAGAGGCAAAGTGTGTGTCTGTTGGTAAACTACAACTAAATGTCTGCAATCAAAACCTTGAATAAAAGTATCCAGGTACTGAATGTACTTATATGTGTATGTTGCATGTTACTGCTGTAGCTGTTTATAGTTTAAAACTACTTTCTACATGCCACGGTTGGCCCAGTTTAGCTGTAAATATACAGTGTAAGTTGTATTATTTATTCTTTTATCCTGTTAGTCTAGCTCTGAAGCCCTTATGGTCTTGGTAAAGTGTTTGTTGTTAATAATGAACATTTGTCAATAACTTATGTTTCCCCTTTCCCTCTCCTCTAGATCTGCAGTTTGAAGATGTGTTCAACCATCATGTGATGAATTGACTGACCGATCTCATTAACTGCAGAAACCATTGCTGTTTACTTCAGGGCGCTAACTAGTTGGAGTACTAAGAACGTGCCACAGAGAGGTGAAATGGCGCAGAAAGAAGTTCAACTGGACCGGGAAACCATTTCCTGTCCCATTTGTCTGGATCTACTGAAGGAACCAGTGACTATTCCCTGTGGACACAGCTACTGCATGAACTGTATTAAAACCTGCTGGGATGAACAAGAGGGGAAGACGGTCAACAGCTGCCCTCAGTGTAGGCAGACCTTCATACCAAGACCTGTCCTGGTGAAAAACACCATGTTAGCAGTTTTAGTGGAGGAACTGATGAAGACTGGACTCCAAGCTGCTCTTGCTGATCTCTGCTATGCTGGACCTGAAGATGTGGTCTGTGATGTCTGCGCTGGGAGAAAACTGAAAGCCCTAAAGTCCTGTCTGGTCTGTTGTATCTCTTACTGTGAGAAACACCTTCAGCCTCACTTTGAATCCTCTGCTTTTGAAAAACACAAGCTGGTGGACCCCTGCAAGAAGCTCCAACAGAACATCTGCTCTCTTCATGATGAGGTGATGAAGATGTTCTGCCGTACTGATCACCAGTCTATTTGTCATCTCTGCTCTATGGATGAACATAAAGGCCACGACACAGTCTCAGCTGCAGCAGAAAGGACTGAGAGGCAGAGAGAGCTCGAGGTGAGCCGACAAAACATCCAGAAGAGAATCCAGGACAGAGAGAAAGATGTGATGGAGCTTCAACAGGAGGTGGAGGCTATCAATCTTTCTGCTGATACAGTGGTGGAGGACAGTGAGGGGATCTTCAGCCAGGCGATCTGTCTCATGGAGAAAAGAAGCTCCGATGTGAAGCAGCAGGTCAGATCCCAGCAGGATACTGAAGTGAATAGAATCAAAGAACTTCAGCAGAAGCTGCAGCGAGAGATCACAGAGCTGAAGAGGAAAGACACTGAGCTGAAGAAGCTCTCACACACAGAGGACCACCATTTTCTGCACAACTGCCCTGCACTACCCGAACCCATTGAATCTACAGACTCATCCGGCATCAGAATCTGTCCTCAGAAGTACTTTGAGAATGTAAAAGTGACTGTGTCACAAGTCAGAGATAACCTACAGGACAGTTTAAATGTGAAATGGAAAAACATCTCAGTGACCAATGAGCCCAAAACCAGAGCTGAATTCGTCAGCTATTCATGTCAAACCACAGTTGATGAAAACACAGTACACAGGTTATTGATATTATCTGAGGGGAACAGAAAGGTAACAGCAGTGAGACCACATCAGCCATATTCTCGTCACCCAGACAGATTTATTTTTTGGCCTCAGGTCCTGAGTAGAGAGAGTCTGACTGGCCGTTGTTACTGGGAGGTGGAGTTGGGAGAGGCAGGGGGTAATGTAGCAGTCGCATACAACAACATCAACAGATCAGGGTCGGAGTGTGGATTTGGAAGCTGTGACAATTCATGGGCTTTAAGATATGACAACAACCGTTATTCATTTTGGTACGACAATGTCCAAACTCCAGTTTTAGGTCCGCCATCCTCCAGAGTTGGAGTGTACCTGGATCACAGTGAAGGTATTCTGTCCTTCTACAGCATCTCCACGACACACAAAACCATGACTCTCCTCTACCGAGACCAGACCACATTCACCCAGCCTCTCTATGCTGGACTTGGTGTTAACTTACCTGTTGGAAACACTGGTGAGTTCTGTGAACTTAATTAGAAAGAAGTCCTTCAAAAGGTTCTTCCCTAACGTTCATCAAAGCCGCAAAACTCTGCCTTCAGCATTGATCCCTCTGTTTGCTCAGTCCAGTTGAGATGTGATTGTTAAAAATGTCTAGTTTTACTTTAGTTCTAATTAGTTATTGTGTCAGGGGGTTAACTTAGTTTTTTTATTTACTTTATTTACTGATAACAACAAAAGCTTTTTTTAATGGAGTAAATGGTTTTCCCTCTTATATGGGAAACATGACACTGACATGTTAACAAGGCCAAAAACTGGCTTTTCACACAGTGGTCTGACTCACTGCTCATGTTGTTTTTTTGTTTCCCTGAACAGACTTTTCTCTGCGTGAAAATGTAAACTATTCCCATTGTTTCTCTCTATGGGTTTTTTGTCATTATATTACAATAAAAATATTTTCAAGAACAAATATACTTTCACATCTACTTATTTCTTCCTCTGTAAGTGAATGAGTTTTCATGGGTGGTGCTCCTTTCTGGGATTGTTGAGCCATGGAGGCTATCACATTAACATTTATGTGTTTGACAAACCAAATGTACATGAGCTACCATGAGCTACTATAATGATCACAATCATAATCAATGAGGAGATCATCTGCACGATGACACATAGCAATTATTTTAACAGATATTGTGATTGAGAAATGAATTCTAATTAGCGTGTATTCGATTGCCTTTGAATCAAAAGGTTAATTTTCACTGGACAGGCGATTCAAATCATGATAGTGGGACTTTTTGGGGGCTCTGTACCAAACAAACACGTTTTCTTAAATCTGGAAAGGATTTGTAGGCCAAGGAGTCTATTCAGAACTTTATTATAAAGCTGTTTTGTCCCGATTTGCATATTGTGTTTTTGATAATATTTCCATTAAATGTGCATTCCTATCCTAAATACTACTTTGGCTACAACCTGAGAACCATTGTGAATAGTATTTGTAAAGTGGATGGTCTTCTCTACTATGTTTCCAATGGGACCTGAATGCCGCATCAATATTGACTGATGGATTGACATCGTGTGGCATTTCATATATTTATATATCTCTCAACTGATGTTGTTCTTTTTATGTTAGCAGCAGGTTAACAACTCAAAAGGGAAAACTGATGCCCGACACCAGGGGGTGCCTTCATCCTGCTAACCAGGGATATAGTGGAGGTTAAAGAACCTCAGTTCACGTTTGCAGTTTTGGTGAAGAACATGTTTTTGAGATTGTATTTTATGATAACATTTAAAATAAAAATGTCAGGTCTAGTAAATCACGCATACAGTTTTGATAAATCATGAAGACTTCATCTTTTTCTAGACATAAACTGAAACTTGATGATAACATGATCAAGGCTACATTTGGTGGGCTTGGGTCACTGTGACAAAACATAAAGGATACGTATGAAATAGTACATTGTCCTTATTCATCCAGTCATTCCAGTCACTTAACTGAGAGCCAAATGATATGGAGCATTCCTGTCTGCTGGGATTCAGAGTTGAACAAATAACTAACTGGATTTATTTGTTTAAATTGATTGAACATTAAACCCCTTGTGATTAAAATATACATTCTTTTAAATTTAAAATGGTTTTCAAAAATGCTTAGAAAGGACTTTATCAAGTAATAATGTTGAATTATTACCTTAACATTTCATTAACTTTACAGCAGTGAGTCATTTAACTATTATTTATGTCTTGTATTTGAATCATGGTAATCAATCAAAAACGTTTTAAAGTTAATTACAGGACAACTCAGTAATGCTGAAAATTGGGGAGACATTTCCAAACCCTCTGATCATAAGAGTATCTTTACTTCCCAAAAGCTGAAGTGAACAGTATTTTATAATGAGCTCTATTATAAGTGTTAAACAGTATCGCTCTGTAACTCAGTAACTGCTCCTCTTCCTGGAATGAATCACAACATGATAACTCCTCCCTCTTCTTCCTGCTCTCAAACACAGCGAGCTTCACTCTGTCCATGTATTTCCTTGTTCCCTCCCCTTTAGATCAGCAGTTTGAGGATGGGTGTAACCAACATGTGGTGTAGTGCAAGAGATAAGAGACCCTATTCATTCAGAGATCAAACTAGTTTCATTTCTGTGGAAGTGAGACTCAGACAGTTGTTGTCACTGAGAGGTGAAATGGTGCAGAAAGGAGTTCAGCTGGAGAGGTAAATTATTTCTGTTTGATCTGTCTGGATCTACTGAAGGATCCGGTGACTATTCCCTGTGGACACAGCTACTGCATGAACTGTATTAAAAGCTACTAGGATGAAGACTAGGAGGAGGAAATCCAAAGCTGCCCTCAGTGTAGGCAGACCTTCACACGAGTCCTGTCCTGGTAAAAAGCTCCATTTTAGCAGATTTAGTGGAGCAACTAATAAAATTTTATAACTAGATTCGGGAACAAAGACCACGCCCCAAACTCATCTAATTTCTGTTCAATACATATTTAAGCACACCTTTTCCGTTCACTCCCTCCATGAGTAATTTTCTACATCCCTCCCCCCCAAATACCCTTCTTTATTTTGTTTTCTCTCTCTTATGAACCACTGGGGCTCACGAAGAGATACGAAACCGTTCCCCCACTCAGCGTCTCAACACCCACTCTGTTCCTCCTGACCATCTTGCAGAACTCCTCCCTCCATCCACCTATCCCACCAGCTTTTCTCCCTTTCTATCAACCCTCACCCGTCCTTCCTATACCCCCTCATCCCCCAACCCTCGACCCTTTCCCCCATCCCTCGACCCCTTCCCATCATCCCTTAATCCTTCCATCCCCTCCATCCCAGGGATAAACTACAGGACGTTCTGAGGGAGAAATGGACAAACGTCTCACTGACAGTGACTGAAGTGGATGTTTTACTGCCACAACCAGAGCCCAAGATCAGAGCTGGATTCTTACAATATTCACGTGAAATCACACTGGATCCAAACACAGCAAACACACTGCTGTTATTATCTGAGGGGAACAGAAAAATCACAAGTGAACAACAGTTTAACTGTAATCGCCCAGACAGGTTCACTTCAAGTAGGCAGGTCCTTAGAGAGAGTCTGACTGGACGTTGTTACTGGGAGGTGGAGTGGAGCAGAAGGAATTAATATAGAAGTTGTATACAAGAATATCAGCAGAGATCAGAGCTTTGGCCACAATCTAGAATCTTGGACATTACATTATTACAAACAAAGTTATACTTTTCAGCACAACTTTGTCCAAACTCCAGTCTCAGGTCCTCAGTCCTCCAGAGTTGGAGTGTATCTGGATACACAGTGCAGGTATTCTGTCCTTCTACAGCATCTCTGAAACCATGACTCTCCTCCACAGAGTCCAGACCACATTCACTCAGCCTCTCTATGCTGGACTTGGTCTTGGCTTCTGGTATGGAGAAACTGCTGAGTTAATTGCACTACGACACATTCCTTGTATGCTTCAAAACCTACTTGGCAATAAACAAAATTCTGATTCTGATTCTGATTAATTAAACTAAAATAGTCAATGGTTATTAAATGGGCATTGGGTTAGATTCTGTCATTTAATTTAAACTTGTTTTGTCACATTTTTGTTGCTGAGACCTGATTGACCGTTATTGGTGGTACTTTGACAACTTCTCATTAGTTTTTCTGTTCGTCACTGCTCATGATGATTCTTGTTTACCTGAACTAACATATCTTTCTCTGAATGAAATTGGCAACTTGTCTGTGCCTTAAATCTTTATTGTATTTGTATGCGGT